CAACAGACACAAGGTATTGTATATTATCCTCCCTGCTAGGACGAAAAGGGAGATATTCTATTTAAAAACTGGAAGCATGCCAGTTCGTCACAGGCCCACCCCCGCCTCGACTGTGCCCTGCATGATGGAAGTTATCACCGACACTCTCGAAAAGAGTTAATGAATGATTGATGGATTGTAAAAATTGAAGTTTATTTTTCAATTGTTTTTAACGAAAGAACATTCATTGTTGAAATTTTACAGAGTAATTTGCTTTGATTTGCGTACGAAAGAGAAGAAATATTGTTCAACACAGTAAGCTGAATTGACATTTTAGAGGGACTATCTTTGCACCACCAATTTGAAGGTGGAGAATAAAAAACTAAAGTTACAACTGCAGTGTTAAAGTGCTGTGATTATGACTGTCATCAATACTCAAATACTTAAAATAAATTTTACCCCCGGGGCGGTGCCACTGACCGAAGTGTCTTTAGGCCATTCCCAAAAGGGTGACATTTCTCGTTCAAGCATAGTAGATTAATTATTGATAAAGGGCTGATTCGTCAATGTAACGCTCATAACTGTGCCTGATCTACAACAGGGAACTGCTGCTTTTTCTTTCCTAATCCTTACTATCGTCACTTTTCCTCTACTTCTTGTTTGTCACTCTCTTGTGACCTGCTATTTCCGGGGTGCCTTGATAGTCTAAGCAGACTTTGTACTGTTGAGGCTAGAGAGGTGAGCAGAGTAAGCCTGATTCCCCGTTTGGACTTCTCTGTTGACATCCACCACTTGAGCTCATATAACCTTATGCAGTTGTGAATGCCGTAAAAAAAAAACCTCTACTAAAAAAAAAAAAAAGGAATCACCTGACACGGGAATCGAACTCGCACCTTTTATGTTGGACTGGGAAGAGTCTATTGCGATGTTACATGATATGGCGCAAAAATGATTGAACGCTACAAGGTTGTTTAAGACTCAAGACCTTCCCAATTTAAAGTCCATTTCAAATGAGGCTTAGCCAAGCCGATGGAGAATACATTACAGTGCTCAGAAATGTGGAGGACCCAGATACGCGCACTGGGTTAGAGACATTCTGATTTGAGGGGACAAACTTTACTTTTACCGTTATCACCATCATCATCATCCGGTGCCTTGTCAACTGGCGTGGGCGATCATGGACCTCCACTTCACTCTGTCTTGTGTTGCAGCGATGGTGTCTGTTGTTCTTGCTGTTCCCAGCCATGCTGCCATTTTGTCCAGTATCTTTCCCTTCTGTCTGCCTCTGACTCTCTTTCCATCAAACTTGCCCGTTGTTACAATATTCTCCAATCCTTCTTTCCGCATTGTGTGTCCTATGAACTTTGCCTGTTGCTTTCTTATATTCGTCATCCATTATTTACCATTATCCATTAATCAAGTACCTCCTACTTACAAACAATATCGCATTCAGCATGGTTCGGTCATGACGGCAGCACGCCTCCTAATTTAAATTACTCGTGTCAACGGGGATGTAAACTATTTGCAAAATAATACTATTTATGATTATCTGTATATCTGACAGTTACAACAACAAAAAAATGCAACCCCAAAACCAACCGAATAAATGTGTCTAGACCAAAGGTCTCATTCTCAGACCAGATGGTTGCTGTGAATACCCGAAGGTGCTATAGCACTCTTTTTTAAGCAGTTCATTAATTTTGAAATGTCTTTATTATCACAATTATAGCGTCAATTTCACGCGCGCGCACATTTAAAGTGGGTGGAATTGCCTGAGATCTTTGGAAATTAATGTGTTGTAGGGGGTAGTAAAGATAATTTTAGTCGAGGAATGCACAGGGGAGTTCTTATGTTTCGACAAAGAAGATGAACAGAATGGTACAGAAATTACTTTGGGTTGCCCATTTGTTTGTTTGTTGTTTGTTAGTGTATGTCTGTGTTGGTACGTGTGTATATTATAACATTCTCTTTCTTTCTCTCAATTTGTCTCACCCAGCCTCTATGGCTTCCCCCTCTTTGCCTGTCTGTCTTTTTCACTCATTTTTCTCTTTCCTTAATCCATCCTCCTTTTGGGGTCTCAGTCTTGATCTCGCTCGTCTCTCTCTCTCTCTCTATCTCTCTCTCTCTCTCTCTCTCTATCTCTATCTCTCTCTCTCTCTCTCTTTCTCTCTTTTTTACCTTTCCATG